CATAATGAATTATTAATATATATTTAAATATTTTAAAAAGAATAATATTTTCGAATAATATCAATTTTATGATGACATATTTGGATGTTGACATGAACTAAAATTAAAAAGAGATGCGTATGAGAAAACTAAGTAATTCGATGACTGAATTGAAAATATCAAATCATGATCATTAAAGAAACTTAATAATGATACAGAATTAAACGTACAATATATATATATATATAGATAGATAAATAGATTGCAAGGGGTACATATTGAATTCAAAGGGGGTGACGCCTGTAGAAAGGTCGAGCTTCAAGACATACATACATACATACAACTTGAATCGTACCGCACGTATTACGAAGGAAGTACGTACATACGTACAGGGTTTGTGTATCCATAGATAACGAGCTTCCTCTCTTGCTCGGCTCCCTGTTACCGCTAATGAGCTACCGTTCTGTTTTCTGTTCCTTCACGTATAAAGGTGAGCCCAGCCGGTGCACTCTCGCTGCGGCTGAAACTGCGAAAGCTTGGGACGACCCGCCTTTATATTGGCATTCATTGAAAACGAGACCCAAGGCACGTGCACGTGTTACTGTGTATATATATGTATATTCGCGTATTTATGCATATAAAAGCAAACACATTCCTCGATTTACATTAATATCTTTCGACTCTTTCATATTGTGTGTATGTGTGTGTGTGTGTAGATCATTTAGGTGTGAGCATTCTCATCCAATGGTACATGTAGATGTTTATGTATATATATGGATCTTTATTTATAAGTGTATATATACATATAACTCTATCTATCTATACTCGGTTTCCCCTTTACCAGAAGTCGCATCGAATCAAGCAATCAGCTTTTCACACTTACCAAATACCTCTCTGTCTCTCTCTCTCTCTCTCTCTCATTCCTTTCCACTTCTCTCCTATCGTTTCATCACTTCTCATCTTCATCATCGTGTGTTTAATTTGAAGGGCGAGAAAGTTTCGCTCGATCGTTCACGAGATTTTTCAGATTTAGCTACGTATCTTTCTATAGGAAAGCAAGTCCGCTGCTCGTTAACGCGAAAAACGGAGAAAACGAGAAGAAAACTGGAAAAAAAACGTTAAATCCTTAAACGTGCTTGAAATATTTCCCGAAAATAATACATGTCGCGTTGCAACAGCACATCATTACGATACTTTATCTATATTTTTCTTCTTCTTCTTCGAATTTAACAATAAATTCATTCGAATGTATAAGATAGATAGAATTTTTTACTTAAAAACGATCAAAAATTCTCAACGACTCGAATTAGTTCAGAGACGTACCATTTTGAAATGTATTTGAGATAGAAACTTACGCTGCAATATTCGAGAGTAAGGCTACTCACATAGCTTTCGCCTAAAGTGTAACTCGGTAAAGCAAACGGGCAAACTCCGATTACAATGACCGGCCATTCGAATTTCGAGCTTAACCACGGTCAAGCACGCGGGTTAATGTAATCCAGCGTTAACTATGGACTCCCTATGGTAAAACTGCCAGGAAAAATCGATCGGTCGCATTTGGCAAGATAAAGATTTCAATGTGATCATTATCATTTAAAAAAGAAAGCTAAACTTTGTACAGAATCACATGAAAATTATACAACTAAGTAAAATTAAACAGTTAATTAAGAAATAAGAGAAAAATAACAAATGGAATAATAATATGTCATTCGTAGTAATAAATTGTGCACAATATTTAATAATTATAATACGCGATTTGATTAGACAATAGTCATGATCAAGGAGTATATTATAAGTCAAACGTGAGAAATAACATTATTCGTTCAAATAAATGCCAAATTATTCCTCCGCGAATTCGAATATTATCTCAGCTTAATTAATTACAATTCCCCTGTGAGCAATAAGACGATGACTCAACGTCGTACCTATTCCTTATACCTCCGTTTAACGACCATATTCTAGAACAGTTAATTGCTCAACGTATAACGGGCGTGAATGAAATAATTAACGATGACGATATGTCAAAATTGAAACATACGGAAAACTTTAAAAATATATATAATAAATATAATATAGCTTGTAATAAATTATTTTCATTTTAATTCTCTCAGAAACAAAAATATTAAAATAAAAAGAACAATAGATAGATATAAAGAGAGAGAGAGAGAGGAAAATAATATTGTTCAACTATCTCACTAGTTTCTTCCTTTAACTAGCAGTTTGTGCATTCGTAATCAAGCGAGCAAAACAGGAGGATGAAAATTTGTCTTATCTCGCCGTCGTCTTCGTCGAACTCTACAGCCTCCGTTACGTACAGATGAAAATGACGAGAGAAGTGGTGCCGTTCTATGAGGTATACGTTCTTTTAACGTACATCTTAAGCGTCAAACGAGAACGTCTGTTGCCGTACAGCTGCCTCAATTTCAAAGCAGTAGCAAGACTATTCAAGCGTTTAAACGAGTCGCTACTACGCAAACGTTGTTAATTGCAGAGTTGAAACAGACGTCATCAGAAGTTCAAGTTCCAGGAAAACGCGTTGAAAATGTTCATCTGTTCGTAGTGGTGACAAGGGGAGAAATAGGAAGGCTTGACAGACCGATAGAGCAACAGAGATAATTTCGTTTAAATATCATCGACTTAATTCGTTCCATCGAATATATCGAATAATTTTGAGACTTTAAATCTTTAGAATATATGTGATTAAAAATACATATTTAATTTGTATCATATTAACGCATTAGTTACCAGCAATGAAATGTACATGCAAAACAACACCGATCAATGCAAATTCGAATTTTTCGGTAATACCGATATGAAGGAAATGAAATGAATACTTATGAGATCATTTCTTCTATAGATTGTTAGGGATTTTAAATAATAATGTTCAGAAAGATAAGATAACAATATTCTTTCGTGTTCATTTGTTTAAAAAATAATATATAAGTAGAGTCGATTTTTAATCAATTGTTCAATAACTGAAATCAACGATAAGCCTAGTTTTAGGCTACCGGTCAATAAACATTGGTAGTGTAAATTAACCAGCTGCTGGTAAGTAATGTTTTAATAAAAAATTAATATTTTTTATATATAAAAGTAAATAAATACTTAACAGTTAACTTTTGGTAATTACATTTACGATTAGAAAGAAAATAAAAAAGAATATTATTTTATTTTAAATTCATTAACTCTTTTAACGTTACTGATTGAACTATCAAAATATTAATTTTAATATTATAATAAATTATCATATACTTTTGTTTTCTCTTCGGATTTCTATGAAGCATCCGTCGATTTGTCGATGATCTTTCCTGGATTTAGAAGAATTCGAGTATAGTTTGATCAAAAGGTCACCACAATATCGGACATAGGAATCTTCGGAATTATGTGCAATTCTCGTTACACGATGAATTCCTTTCGTATATTGAAATCTCGAAATGATGTCGGCGTATGCCAGAAGGTTTTCAAATTCTATCAAATAAAACTGTTTTTCTTTGAAGGACGATTGATTAAACTAACGTGAACAAAAATTATTAATACATACATGCATACATACATGCATACATACGTGATAAATCAAGTTTCCTCCTAATAAGAAAAAAACACTGATATAAGCATTACATTCGCACACACACACATACGCATACATAACTCATTTTCACAGGATGAAAAACAAACGCGACAATCCAATTTCACTCGTACGATATTATTCACAACTCGCAAGTGTTCCAGTTGGATATTTGTGTAGTTAACCGTATAATTAGGGGTTATTACAATTATTAGGCTTATAAGTAACGACCACCGTTTTGCTTTATTTTCTCTTCTCGACATATTTACATCATGCACCGTCAGATATACAAACTATGTACGAATCGTGAAACGGCTTTATTGACTCTTTACCTACAACCACGACGACTCTAACTACGAACAGAGAAAATAGGAGAGGAAATACCAGAAAATGAGTGAGTATATGAGAGAGAACAAAAGTGAAAGAGAGAGAGAGAGAGAAAGAGAGAATGCGTAGTATATCAGAGCTGGCATAGTGCCACGAACTTTATTATTAACTGTAACTGCGGCTTTACGCGATCCCCGTATAAAGGGATTCGACGAGGCTGAAATTATGTAGCACCTCAACGGCTTTGGTGTTTAGTTTCGGTGCATCGTCGATAACTGACCGTTAATTAGGTAGGTTCGGTAGGTTATCGTTCCAACGATTGAGATACATTTACATATACACATACCCCCGTATATACGTATATACACATACCAGAAATGTACCACGTTATTATTAATCCACGCTCGTAAAAATACACTCGATCTACCAACGCATCAGAATTGTTTACGAGCGACGAGAGACTGTGTGTATTTTGTTTCACGAACGGTTTATCGAATTTACATCTTGCTTTCGTAGGGAGTATCCCTCTTGCACGTATAAATATATTCGTGAAAATGAATGGTACTATAATTCGCGAATTGTATGCTTAATCATGTTAAAGTACTATTTTTATTTATTTATTTATTTTGTTCTGTCTTTTTTCTTTTTTTTTTTTCAAGGGAATAGACAATTCGTAAAATAATTTATTCGGGAAGAATCGATGATCATTCGAAACTACAAGAATAAAAAAAAAATAAAAATGCTATACTTGTATATATATTTCCGTCTATCGAAGTAAACCTATCGTTCTCGCATCGTATCGAGTTTTACACCAGTACCAAGTGATCACGTTTCGTACATCTATCTACGTACCAACCTGAGCTTGAAAACAAAGTTACCGTAAATAACATCGGATCCATTTCCTTACCGCAAGTGCGACTCGCTTCTGTTGCATGTATTCTGATACACATACGCACATACTTGTATACTATTATGCGTGTTTCCACACATGTGAGCGGAAATAAACCAGCTCTTCGTTCCATCCAAGGAGGCTCCTCCACCTTTTGGACTCTCAACGAAAAAGCTTCTCTTCTTTTTTTTCAGTAAGTATACTCACATCTCCCATTCAAATATAAATTACGACAAAAAATTAAAGCATTTGTAGAGAGATACTTTATTAAATCCAAAAATAATCATTATCTATTTATATCTTCTATAACAAATTTCCATCTATTTCATTATTCATTATTAATTATTCATATTGTTTCGCGTCCTAAATATGCGAATACGCGATCCATCTAAAACTAAATGAATTAATTGAATTTAATCAATTAATTGAAAATTATTAATCGAAAAAAAAATAATAATAAACGTAAATACTTAAAAGTAATTTGATTTAAAGAATTAATATCTGAATGATCGGTGCTCGAAAATAAAAATTAACAAATTTTTTTTCTGTACTTGTTCGGCTTTCGTTTTGAAGTTTTTCATGTTGTTTGAATAACTGGCACTGCTTTCTTCATAGTCAAGTCCATATGCATTATATCCAGGTTAACCTCCATGGTATTCAACACTTCTTTCCATACAACATCGCGGAAGCAATGTAGATTGTCTGGTGGTTGCAGAACTTTTAAACTACTTCGCCTCTTAACTCGGGAAAAAGCAATGTATAGCATTCCATGCTTGCTCTTCTTCCTACAGTGCTGTATTCTTCTTATTAAGACAGCTACTTCAAATTCAACGAATATTGCAGTATGCAACACCAACTTCGGTCTGTAATCAAATCATTTACATTTTATTTGATTATTTAAACACCATAAATGAATTTTCTAATAGTTAAGATCAAACTATTTATTGTGTCATTATTTTTAACCATTATTATATCAATTGTTTAAGTAAACGATCATTAGTTATGTATACTCAAAAATTTAATATACAAAAAATATTGATTTGCAATATAAGTGATCAGTTTTACATTGATTAATACACAAATTGTTAATCTTTTAAATGGATGGTCAATATTTATAATTAAATATCAGTATATATCTTATATCAATATATAATTCTGATGGAGTCTTAAATAAATGCTCACTGTGTATTTAAAATATTGACAAATTGTTATCTATATTAAACAACATATTTATATACATACTGATCATTTTATTTACAAACTATTGATCGAAAATATTGAGAAATATTAGCCAAATAAATATAGAAGTGCACCCGAAAATAGTCAACTCAACCATATATATTCCAATACTCTTTTTTTCTTAATAAAATTGGTTAATATGTTAATATACAAATATAAAGATATTCCTTGTTTAAAAGTATAACATGAAAGAGAAAAAAATGATCGTTAGGGCTCGGTTTCGAACAACATTAACCCTTTTTCCAGTTAATTGTAACTAACACGATCAACAAAACAAAAGAATAAAGCACAAAATAAATAAAAACATAGCGTCACTCGCCATGCAACGATATACGATAAATATTTGTTTAAATATATTTCAATAACTGCCTATTTTTTTTTTCACTATATACAGAATTTAGTTTCTTTAGCACTCTTTTTTTGTTATTTATAGTGCATTTGTATTGTGCATTTTTGAGAAGGAAGATTCTTAATCCAATTTTCTAAAACAATTACTAAACTATTTCAGTCTGTCGTTTGAAATAATTTTATATTATTTATATATTATAATAGTATATGGTATATTTATATATTTTCTGTAAAAAATTCTGTTTATCCATGAATACTTTATGAATAAAAATGAAGCTTTTTGAAAACTTCGAAAAGTTTGTCTCCTTGTATAAACTACTATCTTCCAAATGAAATTATTCTCCTAGAAAATATACAATAAACGTTTCATGATTTATTTTGAATGGTTTCTTTTAATATCCCTTTTTTTCTGATTGTAAGTCTTATTTTATCTCTTTGTTTTAACTCATATTTACTTTCTTTTTTAAGTTGAATTTACCTTATTTTTTGAATTATTTTGTGTAATATGTTCTGTTTATTTTGATAATAAGCTCTCTTCTTCTATATGATTCTATAATTTAATATTAGCTGTACTAACAATATTACATATATCCTAATCATATATTAGTTTTGATAATAATGTTATCTTCACTATGTCAATTCACTTATTGTTTGATTATGTTTGGATCTCGTTATCTATTTCATAACATTTGTTTCATAAAATTCTTCTATGGAAAATATCAAGCTTGTAATTATAATAATTATCTTAAAATTTTAATGCACACTCACCGTATTTAAATAATTTGTATATATGCGTTTTTAAAATTCTACTTTGTTTCCTACCAAAGCATTTGCCATTTTCCTTTTTTTGTGTTTCTTTTCTTAAAAATAAAAAATATATACTAATCCTTAGGCGAGCATTAAATCCCCCATTCCTTCTCATTCTCTCTGTCTGCTTATTTTCTTCTCTATTCTTTGTGCATATTTAATATAAAGAAAATAAACAAAAAAAAAAAAATAAAGAAAATACGCTATACAGTTCAGAGTGAAGTTTACATACGAAACTGGATTCGATCGAATGAGAACTGAAAGTTTCACGAGCTCGATGGAAAGGATCCATTGTTATCCTCTCGTATGAATAACTAACGACGTTTAACTTGTAAAAAAAACCGTTTATTAAGTTTATAAGATTACAACCCTCAAAAGAAACTACGATCTAAGAAACGAAGGAACAAGGGGGAGGAGGTGCGAGTTTACTCCCCTTTTTTAAAGGAAATAAAGGCAAATTAAAGGAAAGGGAAAAAGAAAAATGTCGTGATTTAGCGATAAAATTGTTCCCTCTTGCAAAACCGTAAATAAATAATCTTCCTACCTGTCGAAGTTAGTTCCGCAAAAGAGAGTACGCTATTTCAACTTTGCAGCAGTACGTTAACGACAAGCATGAAACCAACCCCGGCTTTATAAATCCATGTACTTCATCTCTCTATTTCATACGTGTTATGTAACGCAATCTTCGAAAAGCGAAGAACGAGAATATTCGTTTTCAACAATCAATAATGACATCAATCTGATGTGAAAAAAAAACAACGTTTGTACGGTTTATGCCGATTGCATTACGAAATGAAATGAACTCGATACACACGTGAGTACAGTCGATTAATGGAAAAATGATATATATGTTTATTGACGTATGGCAATACATCATAGTAGGAATAAATCGATAGAATCTATATTACTTTCACCAAGTACTAGTTGTCATTTTTCGTCTCTAATCTTACGTTAGTCGTAGGAATTTTGAAAACAAAAAAAGAAAATAAGAATTGAGGGGGTTACAAAACTTTGGCGCGCGGAAAAAATTAGTATACAAAAGTACATTTCATTTTGATTGTAACCCTAACGTTTTACGTCCAATTAATGATCTTGTCTATAATTTTTTGTATGATTAAAGAAAAAAAAAACAAAAAGAAAAAAAAGAAAAAGGTATAAAAAAAAACGTCCATAAAAGACGAAAATAGAGAAGAAAATTCTCTGAAGAAAAAAGGAGGTAGGGATAGGTAAGCAACATCATAGCGACACTAATTGCACCACCTCGAGTTCGTCAGCCAGTAAAGAAAGAAAAAAAAAGAGGGGAAAAAAATAAATAAGGAAGGAAGTGATGGTGTTGGTGATGGTGATGGTGGAACCAGGGAGAACGGAGAGGACAAAAATTTAATTACGACGAGCTTGTTTAGTAGCTCTGCTCGTTGAAAAACGGCATCAATGAAGGCTAAACTTTCTCAGCAGCAAGGAAGAAGAAACATCGTCGTTGTCGTCGTCGTCGTCGTCGTCGTCGTCGTCATCGTTGTTTTCGAAATTAACGCTGGAACACAGATCGTATTTGATACACATAGAAACAAGAGAAGCGCATTAATCGTAAAAGGAATTTCAAAGGTTTTTAATATATTCCTCGATCTATCCTAGTGGGGTGTGCCAAAATAACACCGATAAATACAAAACAACTATGCAAGAAAAATAGACAAATAAAAAGGTTAGACAGAAATCACAAATACTTTCATACAAAGAATCGGGTATGGATCCTGCAACAAACTCTTGTAAAAGTGTGTGAAAGTTTAATTACATTCTATCCTTCTCTTACATTCTTCTTCCTCTTCCAATTTTCGTTCTCACTCTCTCTTTCTCTCTCTCTCTCTATATATTTCTCTCTATCTTTTTTTCTATTTATCTTTTTTCCTTCCAGTTTCGACATTTTTAGCGTATTACAACGTTAAAAGCAAAAAAAAAACATTTAAATTTTCTCTCAAACTCTAGATTCTAGCTGCTGAATCGACTAAAATCTAGCACGCAAAACATACTTTGAGAAAAATTACGTGATAAGTACTTATGTAAGAAAAAAAAAGAAAAAAGAAAAAGTAAAAAAAAGTGGTTTGTTGTTTTAGGGAAAACGCTAGAATCGTTGAAAAAGAAAGTTTCGATCGATTGAAAGGATAAAAGATTCTACGGTAAGCTTGCAAGCTTCTTCCCTTCTATCCATATTTATTAAATTCACCTACCACTCTATTCCTTCGTTCTCTTTTCTCACTTATTCTACCGGACAATATATCGAGGAACGTGGAAAGCAGTGAAAGTAGAAGAACGTTGCCACCACCCCCTAGGGAAAGGAAAGTTGTCCGAACTGGAAGGTTACAGACGCTCGATAATCCAACGTTTTACGGCTAGAAAGATAGAGAAATTCCATGATAGCGTTTCCCTCTCGAACTGTCTACGAAATGGTATCTGAGAGCTATAAAAATTTAAACACTACGTCGTTTCGAAGCGCATACGCTTCATCGTCGACGGAATTTCAAGATCTCGAATATTAAAAAAAAAAGGCCAACGGAGAAAAGAGAAAGAATATTTTTCAAGAAAAATCTTTATGGTATAGTACATAACGTTATTCTAGTTTTGAATCTAAAGCAGTATATTTTGTGTTCTAACAAGGATGCAAAAGATCCGATCTTATTTACGATAGGAGGTATAGATATACATACCAAAGCATATATACACTCTTGAGATAGCTTGAGGGGATTGCAAAGTGATTTGTCTTGAGAGATCTTCACGAGCTAGAATTTGTATACGTGTCAACGTGACAATGCACTTTTGAAAAGAAAGCTAATAAAAGGCAACAACGCCGACGACTATAATGATAGAAGAAGAGAAAGAGAGAGAGAGAACGGGAAGTATGTAGAAGGAGTAAGAATAATGATAGCACAGAGATAACGTACAAATGAAAGCGTCAAAAGCAAGAAGAGAAGACGTCAAATGATGCACGAAGTAATAATAAAGTAGTCAATGAAAAGAATCTCGAGATACTCGAGATGATGATGGGAGAAAAAAAAAGAAAATAAACATAAAACACACAGAGAGGAAAGAAAATAATTTTGAAAGAACAAAGAAAAATAAAAAGGAATAAAAGATAGTAGTAGTAAGCAAAGTGACTAAACTACTTCTAGTAGTCAAAGTGAAGTAAACTATCGGTTTGTATCGGTCCATGAACCTGGGCCCCATAACTTTATTTTATCCTCCAGGGTTATATCTAGATTTATTGGTCGGACGTTGGGCATGCTATTTCAACGTTATTTATGACCAAGTCACGGCACTATGCCGAGCACTAAAATTACTACGCGTGCTACCGCGTTCACAACAAAGTATCGAAAGGGAACCGCGGATTATCTTACGACTATCTTTGTTTTATAATAATTATTTCTTGAGAAAGAAATAAATCATTTATACCTTTTACCAATGATCTACTTTTTTATTTTCATTCTATTGCTTAATTAGATTTTATTCGCGAAGCTTTTACTCCGTGTGTGCAGACGTCCGTCATATATTTGAAAATATAATAACTGTAAAATGTACACAGATAAATTGTGCTGAAAAGACTCGTTAAATTCACACCGAACTCAATTACCGTTCAGACGCTTGTCTCTATGTGGAGATGAATTTTTTCTAATTTGCTTTTACGAGTTATTATGCATTCGTAGCAATAACAAATAAAACACAAATTGTATTTTCAATGATATATCCAATCAAGGGTTTCCTTGTAAAGAAAATCATTAGTTGTACCAATAAATAAATATGTCTTTATTATAAATTGATCTTTGTGATTTTCTCTTATTCTTGTCCTTAAATTATAGATTTACATAAGTGAACACTTTTATTTATCTCAATCATAATTCTCAAATAAAAATTAGTGCTGACGAGTTGCATTGCTAACAGGTGTGCGCTTGAGCATACCTTTTATAGTCGAACGAACTCGTCGATTAATCTTTTGGTAGCTTGATGTAAAAATAAAAAGAAAGCTACATTGTTTACGAAAAATGTGCAACCTCACTTTCTAGATTATACAAACCTTCTCTGTCTATAGATGTACATATATACGTACGTATTCATTCGTATTTATAAAAGTGATGAAATAAAATTACAATCCTCAATAGTAAATTCGCTGAAATAATATAAAATACATTGGTGGTAATCGATCTTTTTCATTCTTCAGAACTTACTTTTTCACGGATATATAAATTTAAACACGATAATTCACATAACTTACTTATATAAAATAATATTTAAATGATACGATCAATGAATTGATCAATGATCAATTGTTATTTACATAAGTAACATGATTTCAATGGGAACAAATGATGGTACATCAATTTTTCTTAAATATTGTATGAAAAAATTTAAAAATTTCTAACTCATATTTTTATATAATTTTTAATTAGATAAACACAATTAAAAAATTATTTGAATTATGCAAGACTTGAACCATACAGTATGCACACATACATATATAATATACATATATATATACGTATATGAATAGGAAAATTTACTTTGACTAGTAAAGATACAAGATACAAACATAAATGCATAGATACAGAGACAAAGCAGTTCATCTCTCGGTGTCACTATTGTTCGTGATACATTTCGCTAACTCTGCTAGCAAACGCGTTTGATCTGTGGATGACACGAATCCGCGTCAGTGGCACGCGTTATTCGCAGGCTGTTCGCGACAACGGTTACTCGTCCAACTGCATCATTTTCCCCGAATTATTGACCGAATAATGTTCTACGAAATTTCTCCCTTTCCTTTCCGAACTAACCGATAAGATCTCAAAAAGAAGCCAAATCGTTTCTCATTTTGAACGAAAAATATTCATTCGATATGAAAATCGATCGATAAAAGCACGCTCGTCTAGGCTTTGACCTTCGTATCCTCGAACATTCTTACATATTCTTTATTTTTCCTTACCTCTCTTACTATTTATATTACAATTTTAAATAACACGACCTATTGGAAATCTTTTATTTTTCTTTTTTTTCACACACACACACATTTTTCCATTATCTTAAAGCATTGTACGAACGAATACGATAAAAAAGTATTATAATAGTGCTGCGATTTTTACATCTATCGTTTTCTAAAGTAAATTTCTAATATATTATATTAATAATAACATTTAATTTTATTAAATTATTACAAATAGTTTTGTTTATAATAAACAAGAAATTAAATAATATCAAAATTTAACGCAGACAAAATATTTGTACACTTAATGTACTTCCATGTTCCTGAATTTCAAATTATTCAACTTGTCGTTAGCTCTTTTAATACTGTTTACAAATATAATATTGTTCAAAATGTAAAACTGGTATGTATTTTTCAAAGAAAAATTACTATAGAATCGAAAATCCCTAATTACATTACAATATATTATATATATATATATATATATATATATAATATATATTTTAATCTCGTTAAGCATTAATAAATCATATCAATTTTTTAACAATCCATTCAAGTAATCGAAAAAGAATTGAAAATGAGGTACATATTTCGAAGATTCGCTTGCACCCGTTAGATAAGATTCGAAAAATTCAAAGACTAAGAAAAAAAGAGAGAGAGAGAGAGAAAGAGCGAAGTCGATATCGATAAATCACGAGGAAA